AAGAAAAGGATCCTAACATGATCTTTATCAAAATAATGAAAAATCATATTGTCAGAAGAATAAGGTTTCTCGAAAGATCAGCACAAGAATTAATCCATTTCATTTTCAACGCACATGGTCCCACACTCTATGGTTCTTGAGACCCCACTTTTTTATATGGGATTCAGATGCAAGACAATTAAGTGTATAGTGATCCCCAGGCATCTCATTTCAGATGTGTGTTCTTAAGATGTATGATAACTCTGATCCTAGTCATCATATCCACAAGCTAAAATTCAATTATTTAGTTCACTAGTTTGAATAGAAAAACCGATAAAAGATTGAAAAGCTTACCATATTTGCTAGAGTTGACGATGAAATCATACTTGATCGCGTATATATCCACATACACAAACAGTAGCATCTCTCAATGCAGTTCTCAATTCTTGGCACAGATGGCGCAGACCTTCATTGAATAATTTTGCAGCAGCATTGTAACTTGAAAGACAACCATAAGGATCAAGATCTTTGGAAGTTTTTTGAACTAGTGAGATTTTTTGAGGGAGACAGCCCAATGGCCCTGAGTTGTGGACCCAAAATTTCCTGCCACCTTGACTATATACAGCCTAAATTTGCCATAAAAGAAAAACCAAGCTCGATCAAGAACTCACACCTTCTTAATTAGCATTTGAACACAAAGATTAGCTTTTCTAACAGAGCAATAAATCATTTTATTTTATGTAAATTACCCACAGCAGGTTGGGTCCACATTGCAAAGTTAGGACCTTTTTCTCCTTAGTTTTCCAAGAAAGTTCTCATCAACTACAAGAAAATTCAGCCATAAATCTTAGTAGTCTAAGTTGTTACTGTGACAATGTTTTGCCTTTGACAGGTTTCTAGAGTTGGTTATGATGCATATCTTTTCAGTTTTCAAAGAATGACGAGCAAAAGAAAATTCAAAAAACAGGATTTCAAGGTAATGTTTAAAACAGGAAGAGTGAGAGAAATAGAAAGTAAAATTTCAAGAATTTGAGAATAGCTCTCATCACTGCCCTTCCTGTTGTAGGTTGGACTTCTAAACTCACCTGAATAGCATTCTTGATTTCTGTAATTATGGATGGGATCTTTTTGACAACTTGCGCATAAGACAGGTTCTTAGCAAATGAATCAGAGAGGTCATTTTGTCCAATGTCGATCATATAGAGAGCATTACGGAATCCTTCATCATCAATTAGATTTCCAGAGCCTAACATAAGTTTAGAATGACATCAATTCACCATTGTATTACTACTTCCAACCACAGCAAGACAAAAAACAGAAACAGTGTCAACTACAACAACAAAAACAAAAAAATAATAATCTCACAACTTTAAGCATCATTTCCCAATAGAAGTTCTACTAATCATAATCTACAAAAGTTTGTCACTTGTGGACCTTAATTAGGGTTTCTGGATTTTTCATTCTGTTGATTGTTTTGAGATCAAATGATCAGGTCTATGCCATAGCTAGGATGTTTAAGATAATTAATTGCAACCATCTAATCTATAAAAATTTAAATATCTTATATGTTGAGCTATGGAAGAAGAAAATTATCTGGCCATAGCAAAATTCCGTTGTTGACACATGTAAATGCAAGTCAAAAGCAGCAAACTGAAAACCTAGGATTTTGGTTTTCAATGCAGAATCCAGGTAGTTTTACATAAGAGTTTTACTGCATTTTAGTAAGTTGAAGTCATATTGTAATGAATAGCGCTGCATGTAAATGTGTTTTTATGAATGTACCATTAGTATAATTCAAACAAAAAGCAACAATTTTTCAATTTAACAATCTTCTTAGTTCTTATGTCTATACTTTTATTAATACTTCTATACTATTAATAAAAGTAACTCAGCATGAAAATTTTTTGATTTATTATATTACCCTTATAAATAATTTTAAATACCACAATATCCTTCCGTAGTTAAATATCTAAATTACTATCATATTCTTATGTGTTTAAATCTTCAAATTACTCCTAACAATTTTTTTAATTTTCTATTCTCAATGTATAAATATTAATATTTATGAAACTTTTTAATTAATTATATTACCCTTTAAAAATAAGCATTGATTAGAATATTAATAATTATTTTTATTATTTAATGAATTCTAAGTTGAAATGAATTTCAAAATTAATTATTTTTATCTTTTTTTTCTTATACTTATAACAATGAATTGTTGAGAACAAACAAAATTATCTGAATTCTATAGACTATAATATAATACGAGTGATAAAAATATTATTTTTATAAAATTTCAGATGGTATTTAATTTAGGTACGCATATTCTTAAAACTTTTTTTACGTGTAACACAAGTAGGGCATGACTACTAACCAAAAAATTAGCTATGTTATTTCTTGGCAGTTGGCACTTCCCTTGAAGGTCAATCAGAGCATAATGTGTGCAACCCTTTTCCCTCCTAGTTTAGGTAACCAAGGTTACAAGTGAAACCCTGAGAAAGTGAACTGAGCAATTACCTGCATGAACAAGTTCAAGGGACCTAGCCTTGAAATGAAGGAACTGCAGAACCTGAACATTCAATGCAAAGGGTACGTATTTAGGCAAAGTAGAGGACCCCACCACTGCAAAATTTGCTCCATTTGAAAATGTAGTCCCCACCGAGTCCAGGTATGGGCTCAGAAAACTAGTGTTCACACTTTGGCCTGCACAAAAAAGTCAAATATACTGTGAATCTGCGACCACGTTTGTCCAGTTAATAATAGCCCTAGTCCATAACAAAGCAAAACCCTGAAATATGCGGTTTTCTCCACCGTACACGTGGAGATATGAAAATATAAGAAGCTGTCCATGTACAACAACCCATTATATACAGGACCCAGGCTTGATCACATCATATGGCAAAAATGGCCCTTGTTTCGCGATCACTTTGATAACAATAGACCCCACAAAAATTTTAAAACATGGCTACCATTGTTTTCGTTGCAATAAAAATTCCATAGAATATTTTTTTCTCAAATTTAATGATAATTATTTTATGTAGGGCCCACTAATTTTAATCTAGTCGGCCCGCACCATGTCGGTGGCCGCTGTGAATTTGTTTTAAAACCGCAACATCCACGTCTTGAATGACGAAATTTTCGTACACTAACTATCATTACCTAACCAACAAATCACAGAAAAGATTATGGTATAAAAATAAAAAATAAAAAAATCAGTATAATGTCTCTATGTATCACATTTGTGATTTTTCGAGATGACTCAGGCCGATCCTATCTTTATTTAAGAGGAGGAGCCGGACGACGAAACGTCCTCTGTCTCAGACGCGACTCTTTCGGTGTTTTTATATTATGTTGTAGTGTTCCAAAAAATGGTAAAAAATTAGTAGCACAATAGGGATAAAAATACTTTTAAATGTAATAAAAATATCCATGATAAAATACACAAATGTGGTAATTTTTTTATATAGAAGAAAAGTTATAAAAATAATGCAAAAATGTGAAGTGGAATTTGAGAAGAAAATTACATGAATGAGACAGAACAGAAATGTACACATAAACAGTTAAAAGATGAGCAATGAAGGAAATTTTTGGGTAACAACAATAAAAAAAAAAATCACATGAATGTGACAGAAAATGTAGAAATGCACTGATAAGTAGAACTAACGTCTGTTACAATCAATATTTTAGTAGGTTGGGCAACTTACAGAGAAAATCGATCACAAGACGTCCATCGGAGAGTCGACCGGTTGATCTTCCAAAAAAGGTGCGACCATTGGGAAGGTTGACGGGAAAACCGAGTCCGGCGACGAGTCCACCGGTGTCCGAGTTGGAATCGCCGAAATTGAATATTACAGGTGATTTCGTGCACCGACAGAGAACTGTTAGTGGAAGAGAGAGAAAGACAAAGAGAAGAGTTAGTGTAAAGAAATGGGTAGGAGTAGAGAGACGAGAGAGTGAAGTGAGTGAAGCCATTGGCATAAGGCACTGATTTTGCTTGGACATGCTTTGCAATTACAGTGCTTTGGAACTTTAGAAAGGCTGTGACGCACTATGTGGGGTCCACGGCTTTCATCCGGATTATGGGTAAACTGCAGAGTGCAGACAAATGGTTGGACGATTAGTCGACCCCTCTTGCGTCAATTTTCAATCTAATAGTACAATATTAATTTTTAATTTATAAAATTCAAATAATAATTATGAATAATTTATTTTTACTTATTTCGATTCGTTGATTTATTTTTTTATAACAAAATTATCATCTTTTTTACACGACTTTTAATATCAAATAATTCAACTAAAACGCTCTTAAATATCATATAGTCTCACTAATTCACATTTATATTTTTCTTTTCTCTCGATTTTTAATTTTTTTTAAAAATAACTATTAAAATAGTTTTGATTTTTTTTTTATAAAAAAAATGAAAATAGAAAACTTGTTTGATTGTATTTTCTATTATAAAAAAATGAAAATAGAAACAGAAAATTAGCTTGATAAACACTTCTAAATTATTTTATGAAGAACTTATTTACATCAAACATTTTCATGCTACTTTAACTGTAAAAATAACAGAATATAAGGATAATACATTAAAGCATAACATAATTCATAAAACATTCATACTACAAATATATCTCATAATTTACAAAAATTCAAGATAATAATCTATATAAACATCAACTCATTAATAATAATTTGAGATAATAATCCATATACACCAAAAATCATATGCCTCAATGTCTAACACTTGTCCACAACTCATTGGCAATACAATTTCGCACACGAGTCATTTTGATAAATCTGAGTTAAATTGATATCTACTTTAATCAGGTTCTCTGAATTCGATCCTGCATTATCATCACCCTTTCTTTATTATTGAACTCATCAAATAATTGATCTTGAGCAACATGGATTCTAATAAAGTTGTGAATAGGTACAACAAATTGTTGAAATATATTTTTGTGTTTTTATAAGGTAAGGGCCATTTGTTTGAGATTAAGAAATCGAGCATTTAGTACTCTAAGTGATGAGTGACGGTAATTGAATAACTCTATCTTACTCATTGGACATCAGTCACTACCTCTATAGTCACGTAAATGATATATCTCACCACGATATGATAACAAAAATTCAAACATGTTTTTATATCCAACATCAAAAACATAATATTTTTTTGTCAAATGGTACACTTGTAAAATAAGTGATAAGTTATAAATTCTACAAATACAAATAAAGGTTACAATGAAGAATATAAACTCCTTCAGGCATTGGGAAATTATTTTCTTAATTGTTAATGGACTCAATAAATATTCTTAAGTCATTAGCAATTCCTCCTAACCACTCATAACAAATGTGATCGCATGTCGGACTAATATGCACACATGACATTTTGTGTTGATTCAACTTTTCTTACCACGGTAAGAGATTTGTTTACTCACTGGCACAAGTGAGTCAACATAAGTTTCATTTATAGCACCAATACAATTCTAAAACATAATAGAATATTAATATGCATAAAAAAGTGTATAACAAATAATAAGAAATAAAATATACATTACCTTACCGAAAATTATAACTTTTTAATGTCAAGTTACAATTTTTCTAGTTTGTTTTCAAGACAAATTAGATAAAATAAAAAATAAAAATAATTATTAAACACGTTTTTGTTTTAATTTTTGATAAAAATTAAAAATAAAAACACAAAATAAGAGACAAAAACACCAAACAAACAATCTATCTATTCGGCACTATACGAAAATTTAACTATTTGTTACATAGTCTTTCTTCTATCAAGTAAGAGACCCCCATAAACTTCTCTAGAATGTTTCACCAAATCTCTAATAAACAATTTATCATTGGCCCTGATGTTGGGCTAGATTGATTATGGCCAGGCCCGCCCTGGGTGGGCCATAAAACTCTGGCTCAGGACGAACTAGGATTGAGTCGGCTACTGAAATTGATTATGGGTTTTTTGAGTGCGAGTATATTTTATTAGACTTATTTGAGAGAAAGTGTATAAATAAATTTTTTGCTCTATTAAGTTTAATTATAATAAAACATTTTATGATTAGGTTCAAAATTCAAATGACCTTTTATTTATTCTACTTAATTACCCTTCCTTAAATTATATATAATTCTTGTTTTTTCACTTTCTCTTTTCCTCTTATTTCTTACATCGTTACTCTCTCTCCCCCTATTTTTCTTTCTCTCTCTGTTAATCTCTCTCCTATTTTTTTCTCTCTCTCCCCCTCTCCTTATTTCCTCTCACCATTTCTCTATCTCCTTACTCTCTCTTTATATCAATGTTACAATAACATAATTACACTAGTCAGTTACACTAATTAGTTATAATTGTCCTATAATACATAAAACAGTTACTCATGTGTTCTGATAAATCAAACAGTTGTACCAAACAATTATACGAAATTATGACATCAATCCAATTTTTCATTTAGTTATTTACATAAATCAAAGAATTACATAATTTAGTATCATGACATAGTTATACAAATTGTATACACTATATTTGGTGTAATGGTAAACTTCATGCCATAATACTAAATAGTGTAACTTTTTAATTTATGTAAACAACTGAATGAAAAATTGGGTTGATGTTGTAATTTCATGTAATAGTTTGGTTTATCAGAACACATGAATAATTGTTTTGAGTATTATAGGACAAATATAACTCATTGATGTAATTATATTGTTGTAACGTTGATGTAAGAAGAGAGAGATATGTTAAATAGAGAAAGAGTAACGATGAGATAAACTAGGGGGAGAGTGTGAGAGAAAGAGAAAAAAAAATAAGGGAAGAAAGAGATGAAAAAATTAAATCAAATCTTTAAATATTTAAAAAAAAAATAATAAATTATCAATATGAGGGGAGGGGAGAAAATAGGGGATTGATAGAGAGAATAACGGAGAGAAAGACGAAGACAATAATAGAGAGAGAGAGAGATTGACAGAAAATAGGAAATAGAGAGTAATGGAGTAATGAATAACTTTTTAGTCTTTGTCCAAAAAAATACACTTAGGATCAAATAAGTTTACTTAATGTAATTTAATTCAATTAAGTCCAAAATTTTATATCGGCTTCCAAATTTCCCATGGATTATCTAGACAAGGCCCAACCCTTAGGCAATCCCCTTGGCCCACTATTTTTTAAAATTGAATATTAATACATATTCATCAATTTCTATAATTACATAGTAAAAATAATCAATGAGATTAATAAAAGAGTTTTTTGGAGGCCTTACCTATACCCAATAGGATTTCAAAAAAAAAATTCACTCACCAATTTACTTTTGGATTAGGTCCCTATTAAAAAATCAAAGCAGTGGATATAACTAACGATCCTTTAAAATTGAAAAAATAATGACAATGATATCACGTAATTGAAACACTTATTCTAAAAAACTATATCATCATAATGTACATTATTCTCCATAAACACAAATCGTCAGATAAGTACATTAAAATAAGATGATTTGTTGTCGATTAACGTACCTCTTAATATATATGTGTTTACATAGGTACACAAAATATTATATACAACGAATAACATACACGATCATTCAAGTACATTATATGAATATATACATCTACAAGATATGTACATTAGTATTTAATTGAGATGAAGGTACATATACGTCAATACAGATACACAAGTACATAAAATCATTCAAAATTACACAATTCATAACGAACATGTACCAAAACTTACCAACGAATATGTAAAACTTAATTACTGTGATCTAATTTATGTATCTACCAAATCAACGCTTAATATAAATGACTTGTATATTCCAAATTACTTGGTTCATAAATTTGAAATTCAAAACTAATAGATAACAACACAAAATTCTCAATTATAAACGAAAAAAAAAAAATTAACTGTATTTTAAGCTGAAATCATGTAATGAGGGCAAATGAGTAATGAAAACACATTAGCTGCCCAACCCCTCTACGTTTGCGCCTACCTAGGGACCACATGCAATTTTTTTTAAAAACACGGAAGACCTTTTTATATATTAAAAATTGAACAAGACTAAAATTAATTTACACACCAAATGAGGACCCTAGCCTAATTAACTATTAATAGAATAACATATTACATATTAGGAACAAATGTTTGGGCCGAGCTGGCAGGCCATGGTCCAAAACCTTTGGGGTGTTTTGTGTACTTTGCTCATTGTAACTTGCCAGATTGAAGCCTGTGTTTGTGAGTCACTTGATGAATATTCGCTTCCCTAGGCTTTTGACTCGGGCGTTCTACTTGTTTTGTGTGTACCCCAAAAATGACATGTTAGAATTATCTGGAGCGGGAAACGATATGCTCAAGAGCAATGTTATGCTGATTAAATTATGGAATCAAATTTAGAGCCTAAATGATATACCGATTTAATTTTAAAATTTGATCAATATAGCATTACTGTATGCTCAATAGATGTTACAAATGAGTGGAATTAGTATCAAACATAAATAACCTATTTAACTCGTATTTAATAGAGATATATAATGCATAATTTTGTATATATATATTTCCATTTTTGGATCTAACATTATTCTTGAATTAATTATTTTTTATTTAATTTTACTTGAAAGAGCAATATGCCGATTCAGAAAGCCTACATAGAGTGGATTTCATTGAAAGAAAAGGGTGCCTTATCTTTGAAAAAATATTCATTATGACAGTGATAGCACATCAGTATTCTAACCAATACTGTGTAAATAAATAGAAAAATAGACCCCACAAAAGTTAATAACTATCTGTCCATGTAAGTTAATAACTATTTATTTTTCTTTCATATAAGTCAATAATTACTTAAGTATAACTCATTTTACCCATTTAAAGTTTTATAATTGGTTGATAATACCAAGTTATCAATGCTGATATCGTTACATCGAATATTTTCTTCTAATCTTCTGTGTTGTTGTGAAAAGATTACACGAAAATGATACTGACTATCGAGTGTGACATGAATGGATTAAAAATTACATGACTTGAATATGGCATGACCTGGATAAGATATATATGACTCCACTGATATCCTAATTTGCTTTGTCAAATGAATGGTTACTTTGCCAAATGAAGTTTATCTGCTTCCTACCCTATCCATAGATTGCTTCTTTGGTGACAAATACAGAACCAATATGATACACGGAAGACCCAAGCTAGTTCATACCTTAATCTGCAAAAAATGAGTGTTTAAACTTTAAGTGGCAGCAACTATCAAGTCTGTGTCATTTCGGTACAAAAGTCTTTACTTATCCTGATCTTCACCTTTTGAGGTAGCTGAGAAAGGACCCTCCCTCCATAATGTGGAGGAGGTTCCGACCGTAGCTTTTGCTTTCAAGTTAGAATTACAAATCAACTTTTTTTGCTGCTTAAAAATTTCAACGATATATAAAAGGCTGATGTTCCTATTACTGTTGATTTGAAAAGGATAATATACATACAATCTTTCCCTATCTGTGGAAAGATTATTTTGTGACTTTAAACCTATGGTGTCAACTGCACATTGATTGAAGTAGAGAAGATTAGAACAATACACAAGGCTTCCACCAATTTAAGATTTGAGAAATATTAAATGTATTCAGTGTTATTTCATATAAAAAAGAGCAATATTACTTAAACATAATTTGTTGATTTAATTATTCTTAATTATTTAACTGTTAATTGGTCCTGCTATTTATTAGGATCCACAATTAATTCTATGATTATGCTAGATTAAATTAATAAAATATGTCCAAATAATAAAATTATTTTATAAATTGAATTTGTGACGTCTAAAACCATAGTAAATTCAATTCATTTGTATGTCATTGTCAGTGGGATCAACCATCAATTCCCTTCTACCATATTGTCCGAGTTTCCCACATACAATATATCGGCATCTTGACAACACTGAAACCGGTTTCCATTCGCCGCATAACTTTCATTGGCATTTTAGTTTTACAAAAATATTATTCAAACTTAATTTACTAACAGGGCTGCAGGCATTGAATAATAAACTATCAATATGATCACAATATATTAATTTAAAAAAATAAATAAATAAATTCAGGCTGCATTATTGTAAGTTTACGCCATAACAGTTTTGTAAATGACTCGAATGTAGATACCATGAAGAAATTTTGTGTGAGTTTAACAAGGTGGTGTACTTGGCCACTCAAAAATTGTATATTCTCAAAGAGAAGTTGTCATTCATTATTTTTTTTAAATGGGATAATAGTATTTTTGGTCCCTCAAGAATGTATTTGTTTTTATCAATTTAGTCATAATTGTACCATTTTTGTCAATTTGATCACAATATTTAATTTGTGTTATTTTAGTTCCTACATAGAATAATCATTAAGTTTTTGACGGAATAATCGTGTGTTGGGTTTGTGATACTGTCTAAAAAAATAATACATATTTACTTTTGTCAAAAAACTTGACAGAATGTCTAATTAGGGATCAAAGTAGCATGGATTAAATACTTTGAGGATTAAATTGAAAAAATTAATACAATGAAAATTAAACTAACAAAAAATACAAACTTTAGAGATCAAAAATATTTTTAACCCTAAAAAATTTAACTTACATGTCTGATACGATAACTTTTTATTGGGTGTGTATGATAAATTTATACAAAATTTTCTCCTCCTCAGGACAACCAAATTAAGTGGGTCCCAAATCTTTGTCCATAATAAGTGCAGTTTGGTTACTACAAGTTTTCTGAAGCTGGCAAACACTAGGGATGAACAGAAAGCTAACTTTATGCAAGAATGGCAAGCTTTTTCCCTTCCATCTAGCCCCACAAGTATTCCAAGAAATCGAAATCTTGACGCTTCTTTTTTTCCCTTCAAAATCTTTTCTTGATCACCTTTCTGTTGTTCTTCCACCATATATAACCATTCCCTCCCCATCTCATTCTCTCCAAAACCCTTTATCTCTCATACGTCTCCTTTCTTCTTCATATTTCCTATTCTCTCTCCTCTGAGAAGTGGAAGTAAAGGAAGACGAAATGGAAGGCGATTTCTTTCCTTTCTTGATCATGGTTATTGTACAGTTGGGCTATGCCGGAATGAACATCGTATCAAAGCTTGCCATGGATTCCGGCATGGACCCATTTATCCACGTAACTTACCGGCAGATCTTTGCCACCGTAGCTATTGCTCCATTCGCTTATTTCTTGGAGAGGTAATGTCCAAGTATTATATAAGAGTGTGTGTGTGTTTTTTCTGATTCTCTTGAATGTTGAAAAGTTCAAAACAAGAAAGTTTAGAGAGAGTGAATACTTATTGCAACGTGTTTGGAAAATATTCATAAAAAAAAGAAAAAAGAAAAAAGAAAAACGAAGAAAGGACTGATTATAAGTGGAGAATACACAAAAAAATAATGTTGTGGACACTATCTTTGTATATTATCTCTCTTAGACCATCTGATTTGATATAATCAAAATTATTAAATATTTAATAAATTTTATAAATCTTATTAATCTAATAGCTTACGTTGAAGTGGTGTATAAAAATAGTGTCTGCAGCATTCTTGTAGACAAAAAGGGCATGCTTGACTGTCATGTCAAATGTTTGTCATGCTACTCCTAATTGTTGCCACGTCTTAATCAGTTTAGACAAAAGTTTCCTTGAACCGTCGACACGTCCTGCCTCTTTGTCACTTGCTCCTCAGCCTTGCAACTTCCCTTGTAAACTCATCTACCGAAATATATAGTATGAAGTCATCACCCCTAAAGAAATAACAAATTCTTTCATTCAAACTCGAAATTCTTTCATTGGCACGACCCAAATGTTTTGAAAATTCTTTCCTAGTTATTTTAAAAACTTATCAGTTCATTGCTCCAAGTACTTTGGCCGAAGGCGGGGCCAGAATCCCATACCAAAAAGGACAAAATCTTAAAGGAAAAATTTTGAAATTCAAGACTAAATTATTAAATGAAGAATAAAATTGATACTATTCAACCTCAACAAAATATGAACAAAAAGGTATGAAATAATATTTATTTTGTATACTTCAACTCAATCATTAAAGTAAAATATAACGTTCTTTTAAATCTCAAAAATATTTATACTTGATTAATTTTACGTTAATCTATCATTTATTTTATAATCGCAGCAAAGTTCATCTCTCATCTTAGAAGAGTCAAAAATTGTTTTGGGTCAGGATATATTACCATTTACATCTAATAGTGACATTAGATATGGGCCCCTAAATTATTCAAAATTCATGAAGATCAACTATGCAATTATTTCTAAAAAATCAAGATAGTGTAGTAAATTCATTTATACTCAATTTGATAGAAAAAAAACAATTTGTTTACTAGGTTAGTGGGTAATAAGTCACTATTTAATGAAAAATCAATTATTACACAATTATTTTAAAAGTTAAATGAGTGATATATCATTTTACAAGTATACTGTCTTTTTGACATAACTATATGTATAGTTATTAAAAAATGGAGAACACATGGAGCTCCGCCCATGCTTTGGCCCGTTCTAGAGTGAATTTCATGATTTGTTCCCAACTAAGAGGTAAAATTATATTGTCAACAGGATTTCTAACTTTATGTCGACTACTTTTTCGAGTTCAATGGTTAACATTATGGCTTGAGTTAGGTTGGAGTATGCCCTAAAGAAATAAGGGTAGCTAGCCTTTAGGTAGTGTGGGAAGAGATTGAACCTGAAATCTTTGGTTTAACAAAAATCAAACTCAACCACTTGTTTGTAAAAAGAGCCACCGGAAGTAAAACTCAGAAATATATAACTATCAGGCTTAGGAATTTCAAAAATTTTAATCTACGCAAAGGAATATCTCAAACTATTTTTGTTAAATAAAAAATAAATTATTCCAAAATAAGAAAACATTTTATTAAGTAAGTTCAATACCTGCCTCAGATCCTATAGATCCAATATTATTTGTGACGGGGATCTCTGGACTCTGTCTAGTTATCATGTTTGGCTATTTTTGAGAAGGTCCTTATGTTAAAATTGCTTGTAAGATTAAAAGTTCTCCATGTGACGCTAAGTAGTTAGATATGCTACTATTTGTGAGCCAAAGTCAAAGCCAAATATTCTTATGGGATGTGTGTGTAGTGTACTGGCGTGTGCATGCATCCAAGCAAGGTACAGGCTTCAATGCTGATGCCTTTAACCAACTCACAGTTTCCATGCGTAGCTGACAAGCAAAAAGAAAGATTAAACATTGAAATTCCTCGATCTATATAAGTACCCAATGCAGTACTCTCTTTTGGTGATCCAGTACCTTTACAAACTCAGAATAACCCCGTTTGTGAATAATTGACTTTTGTGTTAATGCTAAATCCTCATATTAATGGATATTTTATCTTTTTCAAAGTTTATATTCGTTTTGCAACCAACTGCATGTACTCACAAAGAGAAGGTACCCACTACATACTCAAACACCATAATTATATAGGTTTCCATGTATGGATATATAGCCCAAAATCCATTTTTGTAATTATATCTAGGTGTAAATGAAAAAAATGATATATTCAATAAACCTGTTTAAAATTATTTTTTCTTATTAACTTTCTCTTACCGCCTATCAATGTAAATTGTTGAATTGTTGAATTTTTGGGTCGCTAAAACATCCAACAGTGCACAACAGAGGCTGTTCATGAAATTGATTTTCACCTTCATTTTTTTGAGATAAATCTTATGAATGCATGTATCATATATGCTTTTTCTTAACCATCAAAGGACTTCTCCACTAATTATTGACCTTTTTAGATGGCACTGTTCAATTGAATTCTCATTTGTTACTTGCAGAAAAAAAAGGCCTAAGATGACACTGCCTATTTTCTTCCAGATTTTCTTATCTTCAATTTTTGGGTAAGTCGTCAGCCTCCCACTTTCCTTTCTGCCTAAATTTAGTGCATCCTAATTCACTGTTCAATATTTGTTTATTCTAAATTTTTTTTTTGCAATAAAATATTGCTTTTATATTCTTTTTTGGGGCGTTTTTGGTTGGGGTAAAATATGGGTGGAATTGGAAAATTAATTCTAATCCATTCCATTGGTCTATCACTTTATCCTTAAATGCTGTATAAATAGAAATAATAAAATGTACATTTGAGGCAAGGCCTTTGTCAAAATACATTAGGCTCAGCCTAGTGTAACAAAAGTGTACAATAGAAATAAGAATATGCTCTACGAGACAGAATTTCGAGGAAAGTATAGGCCTTCAGCTAGTACTTCCAACTGAATCCGATTTTAATGGAGCATCACTTGACAAAATAACCTTTCATGACTCATTAAAGAGTGTCCCAGAATTCACATTAGCCACCTCCGGCCTATAGGAGGCTAAGAATTCTCCAGATGATGGAGACATGGTATGGATTCAGTTCCCTTGTCACATACTCTATGCATTTAGGCAGAGTTGGTAACTGCTATTGCATTGCTACCTGCTGGTTCTGCTGACAATCTTGGAACCTAATGACCAATCTATAACGTGTTTCAAAGAAGTTTTCAATTAGGGTTGCTTCCATAGTTTTAATTCTTTTCTCTCATGTTTGCATTATGAGAGATCAATGTATGAGATGAAGTTAAGTATTGTTTTATACCCAATACGTAGTTCATACCGATCAGGTCTCCAACATATGGATTATCATTGTTTATGGTAAATTCAATTAGTGTAATAATTAGGTTAAGTAAAACTAAGTTCACTTTTAGGTGTTTTTTGATTTTTTAGAGAAAGAAAGATGAGTACGTTTTGTAGATGTCCCTCAATTTTGATACTAGTTCTAATTTAGTTTTTCTATTTCTAATTATCCTAATTTAATCAATAAAAATTTTACGAATGACAGAAGGGAGGCCGGGGAGAGGCCTAAAAAAATGATAAAATTGGATAATCACACTTCAGTTCAAATGCTTATCGATTTTTGTACCAACATAGGTAAAATTTACAATGATCCAACTAATGATATTAAGTTACCACTAGAATAATTTAGTCCGTTCTCATTTTTCAATAGCAAAACCAAACCAAACACACCATTTGTATTTCTCTCAAAGATCCTAACGTGTGCTGAATACTGCAGGGCAACTTTGAACCAAATTACTTACTTTATTGGACTGAAAAATTCTACTCCAACAATTGCTTGTGCATTATCAAATATACTCCCAGCAGTAACTTTTCTCCTTGCTGTCTTCTTTCGGTAATTTTCCTTCTTCTCGATTTAGTTATTTTTTTATCCTGTCATAACAAAGATGCTAAATTACATGCCTACCAATAATTTTAAGGGTTGGTTTGATTAGAAAGAAAAAAAATGGTAGAAAGTGGGGTGAAAGAAAAAAAGATGTCTCGTTTGCACTTTAGGTATATTTGAAAAAAATATATTTTACAGTTTAGAAAGGGAGAAATTTGCAAGAAAAATTCTTTGGCATGCAATTTCTGTGCTTACATTTATCTTTTTATGTTCTTTTAAATTCTGTTTGGTAGATTAGAAAGTGTGGGAATAAAGAGGAGGCCTGGGCAAGCGAAGGTGTTGGGAACCCTAGTGTGTGTAGGTGGTGCCATGCTACTGTCATTCTACCATGGACCTGTCATCCCAATTGGTGAATCAACCATACACTGGAAATATGCAGAGAAGATGGCCAACGTTAATCCTGCCACCCACACCAACTTCATCTTGGGCCCCCTTCTTCTCATAGCAAGCTCAGTTTCCTGGGCAGTTTGGTTCATTGTCCAAGTCAGCACCAACATCTCTCTCTCTCTCTCTCAAATGTTCAAATGAATTATAGATTAAAAGGGTTTGATTTGGGTACCCAAAGAGGTGGCTTACCACATTTTCGGTTCAAAATACTATTTTTTTTTTGGAGTTAAGTTACAATAAAAAGTTAGGATTAGTTTTTAAAAAAAAAATTTAATTTTGGAGTCAAATTACAATATTTTTGTATCAAGTTACAATACTTTGTGGGTGTTTGGGATTAAAATATTAAGTTCCGTCCCAAACACCCCAAAAGTTATAACTAGACACCATAAATTTATAACTTAACTCAAAAAAATTAGGTTTTCACATGACGATAATCAAAAAAATACTGATAGACTTATGTAGAGTTCTAAAGGTCTCTGTAACTTATTGATACTGATTGGATGATTACCAGGCGAGAATGAGCACCAAGTATCCAGCTCCATACTCAAGTTCTGCGTTGATGTGTTTAATGGCCAGCTTTCAATGTGTGATTATCGGCTTTGGGGTTAAGCGTGAGGCATCTGCATGGGCATTGAGTCCTAGCATCCGAGCTGTTTCAAGTGTTTATGCTGTAAGTATCATTCAAAAAATATGTTAAGTTATTAGGATCCAATGCACAGCCAGTGGCAACTTTGAATTGAGCCACCTTGTTTTTTGGACAAATTGAATAAAATCAAATAGTTGAGAGGTAAAATATCACAACTCTCTCTCTCTCTCCAGTTATAATGGACATCTGCAAGTGGGGCAAGCTAATTAAAACCAATAACTATAGTAGCCGGTATAATTTAAGAAACATTACAATTGAGAAGGCAACCCGAGACAAGGGCATAAGCATAAGTGAAGGGGTCAAAAGTGTTATTATTCAGCGTCCTCTTTTGTTTTTGTTTTTGTTTTTGTTTTTTTTGTTGCCCATGAGTGTCCTCTTTTGCTTCTTGTTTACTAAACGGATGTATAGGGGAAGTAAAACAACTTTGTGTGAGTGATAAATTAATTTTAGTTATTCTTGCTAGTAAAATTATGACTAACACTAAAACCTTTTTGTGATTTCAGGGTATTGTTTGTTCTGCAATGGCATTTTGCCTTATGTCTTGGTGTATCGAAAGGAAAGGTCCTCTCTATGTCTCAGTGTTCAGCCCCTTGTTGCTTGTCATTGTTGCTATCCTCAGTTGGGCTTTACTTCAGGAGAAATTATTCGTTGGAACGTAAGTACATGATTATTTCAATAAATTATGAATTTTGCATGCGGAATCTCAATTTATTTATTTATTTTTTTGCCAAAATTAGCCCAAGGTTAATTAATGAATGTTGTTATTTCACCTGATTTAAAAAGCTAGTAATTTATAAGTTTATTGTGTCATAAAGATTATAACCCACTGCAATACAACATTTTCTTAACTATAACTCGATCCGTCGTAAATTGATATGGAACCCACATGAATATAGCAGCTCCAATAGGATTTGCGGAAATTGAGGGAACCTAGTACTCTAACTGCATGCATCCCACTTCCAAAAATAATCAATTGCTTGCATGTCTATTGGGTCTATCAAAATGAAGTTATATTTTCGTTCTATAATCCGGATCAATTTTTGTCATATTTCGGATAATGAATCTTTTGTTGTGGTTGGGTTCAGTGTTGTAGGGTCTGTCTTAATTGTTATAGGACTATATGGAGTTCTCTGGGGAAAGAACAAGGAGATAGCATCAACAAGCCATATTGAGGAGCCATATGACCAAGAGACACAAGACATGAAGGACGACTTGGAATTACTGTTTTCTGAGGTTTCAAAGAGGAATCTTCCTGCTAAGCACTGATCAAAGAAGACTAATTTCAGCAAATAACTATCTAGGAAGTTCCATGGTCAACGCTATTATCATTCTCTTAAATTGTGAAGTCTTTTTTCTGGAAAAACTATCAAGGTTGTCTTCTTCCAAAGTTCGAGAAAATTGAAGGAAAATAAAATTTTAGAAGATAAACAAATTTTTATGCTGTTGTTGATAGTTTATCAAGAATGATCGACATAAGTGTGAAGGATTAAGGAATAACCAGTTGCTAGTCTTTAAGATTTAACCAAACAAAAAACTCAAAATTTCATGATCTTTGTTCATAAAATACCAGTACAAGACAAGGAGTACCGTTGGACCAAAGGCCCGTTAGTTTTTTTAATTTGTCATTTAAACCTCAGTTAATCTCAATTTTACTTGCACACTTTTAAAACCGTAGTCACAGTCATTTCAGTGCAGTTCTCCCCGAAAAACATTGGCAAAAGCCCAATGCACTTCTTTCAACTTGGATAGAAGCGGTTGACTGCTATGGTTTTAAAGTATGAGATTAAAATTGAAACAAACTCAAGCGGACGGGACCAAATGTAAAGAGTGGCACATTTCATGGGTATCTATTCAATTTTCTCATTAATTTATATCATATTTTGATTATGGTTTCTTTGCTTATAAGTTTGATAAATAGAGGTCCTATTCTAGATCACATAAAGCGTAAACGGGTGCAGAAGTGGGAGCAAAAGCGTGAGCACAAAAGCGTAAATTTTCAAAAAAAGTTGAGAGCGAAAGCATCACTAAGAGCGTCAAATTTATATATATGACATATTAATACACAATATCAAAGTATCAAAATAAGATTATGGTAAAAACAATTAGAAAAGAAAACATGGCCTAGCAAAAAAGAAGGAACGAAATCAATACAAAAAAGAAATGTTCAAAGTTTAAACTAAAGAAAGTTTAAGGCTTAGGTATTCCGATGCCTTTTATTTCTGTCCTATGTCGACAAATGAGGGAAATTGGGAAAGGCTAATATGCTTATAAAAAGGCAATGTCCTCTTCCCTTCCTTTTAGGCTTCAGGTGTGACTTTCACGTGAGGTTTTAGCTAGAAATTCTTTTTATCGAGACAAGTGTAATTGGAAGTAAAGAAATGGAATATAAAATTTTATTAATATAATTTTTTTAATGTGCTTCATGTGAATTCACGATTTATGGAAATGAATTTGTGGATTCAAAAAAATGAATCCGTGGATTCAAAAAAATGAATCCGTGGATTTGTGGCGAATTCGCTCTTAAAGGGCGAATTAACACTCGGAGCTTGGGAGCGACGGTCTGCGTAGGCAAATCGTGTGACTCAGCTCCTGTTGTTGAATAAATATAACCCAGTCTCCAAGGACTTGACAGGCTTTAGTGCATAAATAAATATCCCTCTACAACATTTATATGATTGACAGATTTTGGTAGACAACAGAACATGTCCAGTGATTCTAAATGGAAACTCCTTGCGTTAACGAAAAATCAAGGTAGTGTTTAGAAAATACTTTTTGAATAAGTACTTCATCAAAAGCACTTAATAGTAAAATTACTTTCATTCATTAAGTATTGTTTGAATGTTCATAAAAAAAAAACCTCGAATTCACAAAATCCATCTTATAAAAAGTGCGCTTGGATAGTGTTTACACCAAAATATGTAGAATCTGAAAAAGAGCATGTGGCAAGATCCGGGGCTAAGCAAAGGTCAGAAGAGGTTTTATGCGATTTAACAGTTACGCAGAAGATTTTCAAGGATCTTGAGAGCATGTAGAGCCGTACCAAAACGTGGCAAAGTAGAGGCATCCATTACAGACCAGTGAGGACACGTTGTAGCCGTTGTGGGGGAGAGGCCTTAGGTGCAAGCTGAGTGGCCGAAAAAGATGGCCTTAAACAAAGAAGATGGGTTAGAAAAAGGGTCTAACACCAGCATCAACAAGTCAATAAATAGCATACCAATCTTGCCATTGTGCTACTTTGCTTTCTATTCTCGTTTAGTTTACTTCTAATCCAATCACCTATCTGGTGATTGCAACGTTGTTTTGATTCTTTTAGTGCAAAATTCAATAAACTCGTTCAGTTCATTTTTGCCCACTAACGCTTTTTAGTTCCATTCTACCTCTCTTCACGAGTATTTGTTTCTTCAAATGAATGGTTTACTCAATGGCATAAAAGGAATCTAGAAGTAGCCTTATGCCTCGTTATAGTAGTCTGAATAACTACAATTTAGGACATTACACCGATTCAAGTAGGTTGATTAACCCTTAATCTTTACATTTGAATATGCTTTGTACAAGTTAATTGTGTGAAGTTTACATCCTATTTATAAATAAATAATGCGGAATTGAGAAAAAAAAAAAAGAGATTGGAGCACTGACATGAAATGCAGGGCAAAATAGTCTTTATCACGGCCAAACCAAAGCTTCTAGAAGGAGGCACCATTCGAATGCCAAAGGAGGGGTTCGAATACCCATCAAAAGTCAAAAACAAATCCTGCCAAAATCAAACAAGAAGCAAGGATTGGGGGCAATGTTTGAATGCCTACCCCTAGCGTTGAATGCCCCCTTTAAAGTCAACGACATCCAAACAAGATTCTCGTTAGCATTAAATGCCAGGTGCAACGTTCAAATGCCCCACCTAGGGTTCAAATGCCTCTTCCAGAATGATAAAACTTCAAGTCCGGATTTTTGTATTCTCTTCTCCTATAAATACCCCACCATCTTGGAGCAAAGGAACAACTTTGGAAGTGGAATAAACCCTCCAAATTAACTAATTTTCTTCTACTTTTCTAGTGTTACTTTCATTAGCTTTCATTGTGTAGCTTTCTCCTTCACCTAGAGGAGTGAACATTTCTCACCTTTCTAGTTGTCTTGTGACTTTAAAGGGTGGGTAGTGTCTCACTCATTCTTAGTTGAAGACAATCATTTTGTTTCTTGTGATTTTACCTTTGTAATTCTAAAGCTTCTCTATTAGGGAGATGAGATTCACTCACTTTGCTAATTTCGTCAAAGTCATAAAGAATGAGTAGTTTCTCATCCACTCTTTAGTAAGAGATGAATGACATGTAAACTATTGTTTAGAAGTTATATTTGTGAACTTCATTTATGTTTATTGTCTTATCTTTTCCTTTATATGATGAATGATTGAATGCATTTAGCAAAACTAAAGTGCTTTGTACAATTGTTGATCACTTATAGACGAACTAAGTCTTCGCATAGGTGATTCTAACGATTCCCTACAAGTATCTAAGCTAGGTATTCATGACAATCTTACAATCTTTATTTACATTGTGCCTTAACTTATGATTGAATAGCGTAACTAATCTAGATGCTTTGTAGAATTATTTGATTGTTTATAGACAGGTTAAGTCTTGGCATAATCAATTCTTATGATTTTCTATAAAGACATCAGAGTCATACTCTTAATTTACACATTTCATTTTTATCCTCTGATTAACTTGTTACTAACGTAGGAGTTAATTGAGTAATTAATATTACACAAACATGGCATCCGAACACATCCGCACATGTCGGATCCTCGAACTAAATAATGGGTTTTATTTTTGTTTGAGAGAATCTTATAGTTTGTTAGAAAATTCCATCATCATCTCAACTTTAAACTTCAAGGGTTTAACTTTAAAACATCGACATGAGTTCCCTATGGATTCGATTCCGAACTTAATCAGATTATAACTACAACTTGATCGACTGCACTTGGGTGTACACCTTTCAAAACAAGTCAAATTTTTTGCGCCGTGGCTGGAAAACAAACGGTGTTTTGAAGTAAAAAGTGAAGAGGCATAGATTTGTTGTGTATATATTTTAGTTTTTTTATAAATAATTCTTTTTTTTTTATGTCTGAGGAATATCTTCTCTTTCAAGATTCGTCTGAAGAATCACTTGGGTCTGTGAATCATCCACCCTCTTCACGTCGATCAATACCAAACTCCTTTGATAATAGTATGACCAATAATCAAAGAGAGGAAGAAATTCTTAATGTTCAAACTCTAAGGGAGTTTTTACATCCCATACGGAGTAGTGTCCCCTCTTATTTTGTGTTTCTTACAAATGCACCCAACTTCAATGTGAAGTTTAGTATAATGCAGTTATTACCTCAATTTCATGGACTCGAATCAGAGAACTTATATTTACATATTAAAGAATTTGAGGAGATACGTGAGACGTTCCAATATAATTATGAACTGGCCAAGTTAAAACTTTTTCCTTTCTTTTTAAAAGGCAAAACTAAACAATGGTTCAATTCTTTAAAAGTCCATTCCATATCTAGTTGGCAAGTGTTACAAACTGAGTTTTTCAAGAAATATTTCCCTTTACACCGCACAAATGCACTTAAAAGAATAATCATGAATTTTTCGGTCAAAGAGAGAAACTTTCTACCAATTTTGGGAGAGATTCAAGTATTTTCTCTAAGCTTGTCCACAACATACATTCGAGAGTTGGACTTTGATAGGGTTTTTCTATGTTGCTCTCCCACTTGACTACATCAATTTGTAGAGATGATGACTCAAGGGGAGTTTATGGGAAAAAGTCTTGAGGAGGCATTTGAGTATTTCGATACCATATCCGAGAGTTCCCAAATGGGAAACTCGGTCTCTCCTTCCACTACTGAAAGAGGATGATGACCTTAGGGTCAAGATGACCACCTTATCTTGAAAGCTCGAAGCTGTATAGATGAAGAAGGTAAACTAAGTTGCTATTGGACCTCCCACAGAACAAGTGTGCTGAATTTGTGTATTGTGAGGACACTCTAATGGGGAGGGCCCTACCATTCCTGCATTCAAGGAGGTTTTGTTGGAATAATCCAATGCAATTTTCAATTTTAACAAGCTTTATCCCAACCCTTATTATGAAACCTACAATCTAGGGTGGCGGAACCACCCAAATTTCAGTTGGAGGAACATACAACAACCTTATGTGAATCAACAACAAAGACCACCACCACCACCCCAGTGTCTTGCTCTATATCAACCATACTACGTCCACACAAG